CCCCCTGTGGCCAGATGCCCGGGACGGTCGGCGAGGTCCGCGGCCCCAGCCGCCCCGCACGGGACCGTGGTCAAGGCCCTGACGAGGCCTGCGGGCACACCGCTGGCTATGCTGCCTTCGCCTGGCCTTCCCCGGACTCTGGGGCCGCGGTGTCAGTCCCTCACGTGACCTCCATGGCCAGCGTGTGGGACCGTGCCCTGGGCATGTCCTCCTGGGGACAGGACGGCCTCACGTTGCCTAGCAGCCGTCCACACCACCTTCTCTGCTTCGCGGTTTCGGGTGGGGAGCTGGGGGCCGTCCGGGCTGCAGCTCAGAGCCCCTCGGCCCTCTCAGGCTCTCCAGGGGCCCCGAGGTCTGCCGTGCTGCCCCCGGGATCCACAGCACCCCCAGCCTGGCTCCCGGGGGGGGGGCTTCCGCGGCGGAGTGACGCCAGGGAGCAGGCTGGGGGGAGGGAGACGAGCTGCTGCCCCGCCAGCCTCAGCCGGCTCTTGGCCGTGCTCGATTCCCGTTCTCCAGCATGCGGCTGCACAGGGCCACACAGGGGCCACACAGGGCGTCCCCCGCCCTTGCACCGCCCTCTAGATGGGGGCTGTGGAGGGGGCCCCTCCCCGTGCCCAGGCCGGAGTTGGGTTACAAGCCCTGAGGGTCTCCTAATGAGTTCCACATGCAGGGATGGATGGCTCGGGGAGGAAGCGGGCTGGGGAGGGGAGAGGGGCCTGAGTGGGGATGAGAAACACGTGCTCTGGAGGAAGCCGGGGAGAAGGGGGGGGAAGGGTGGAAGAGGCAAGAGCTGGGGGAGACTTTCTTCCCCCAGGTCCTGGCACCACCCCTCACCTGCAGGGTTGACTCCGGGCTCCCGGGCCCCTGCAGGAGACCCCAGGCCAGTGGTCTGCGGGGCGGGGGTGGTGGCGGTGGTGGGAGAGACCCCTTAGAAGGCCCAGTCTTCTGCTTCACACAGAAAAGCCCCCAATCCCTGGCCCCGCTCTGCTGGGGTTCTGAGCCATCAGGGGCAGGACAGAGCCCCGAGGGCGGGAGGGGCCGTGGCTGAGGAAGCGCCACCACAGCCAGCCAGCGGGCAGCGACACGCTTGTCCAGGTCCAGCCCCACGGCCCCCGCCCCACCGGAGGTCCCTGCGCACAGCCAGGACACTCACCCGGCCAGCCCACACCCTCACCTTTGCCCCCTCGGCTAGCAGGTGGGCAGGGAGGCCTGGCTTGTGGGGATGGCTGCCCTCCCTCGCTCCCTCCCTGTCCAGTGGGGGCCGTGCATGGGCACCGAGGTGGGCCAGGCAGCTGGAAGCCTCGCTAGGGAAAGGCTGTGGGGATCCATGCTGCCAAGTGTGTGGGAGGGGGTGCGCAGTTGGGGGGCGGAGCCTGAGGGCCTCACAGGGTACCCAGGGCCCCCTCGCAGGAGCGCTGGCTGGGCCGCAGGTTTCTGGCCGGCCGAGAGAGACCGAGCCTGGCGCTGGGGGCCCGGCCCTGCGCCCCCACCTCCAGCCACCTCCCAGGTCATGCGCCGGCGCCCAGCAGGGGCAAAGCCTGCCCTTCGGTTCTCGTGTGGTGTGTCTGATCGAGTCTCCCCACTGCCCCACGCGGCCACGCCTGCTCTCACTCCATGTTGCGGGTCAGGAGGCCGAGGCACGAAGGGGGAAGCCAGAGCGTCCCTGTCGGCGGGAATGGCTGGTGCAAAGGCCCTGGGGCCAGAATTTGCCCGGTGTGTCCAAGGAGCGGTGCGGTGGCTGATGTGGCTGGAGGGGGGTGAGGAGGGGAGAGTGGCAGGTGACAGCAGAGGGGGGTGGGGACAGGCAGGATCCAGGAGGAGGCTGCCCCGGCTGTGGTGGGCGCTGTGGCCCGCACTGGGGTGGGGGAGGGGTTGGGGAGCCACGGGGCGGTGCTGAGCAGGGAGGATATAAGCTGTCTTACAAGTTTTCTTTTTACTGTTTGTTTTAATCTCGCAGACTCGGGCTGCAATGGAGAACAGATGGGGCGGGCCCAGGGCCAAGCAGGGGCGTGGGGGGGGCGAGCCCTGGCTCCTGGCGGGGGCAGGCCCGAGCCCCTGGGGGGAGTCGGGAGGGCCCGCACCTGACCTCCCGCAGCCCGGGGCTCCCTGCCCTCCCCGGAGGGGCCCACGGGGTTGAGGGTCTCCCAACCAGAGGCACGTGTCCCCAACAGGAGGGCCCGGAACATCTCAGAGGGCACGGCTGGCCTCACAAATGGCCCTATTCCAGGGCACAGGGCAACCACTGGGGAGCTGGGGCCCATCCCAGGGCCAGGGCGACCCCGGGAGCGAGGCCAGTGGCACAGGGGCCTCGGGGGACGGGGTGGGGACAGGGGCCAGCGCAGGCCCGGGCAGGAAGCGCCTGTCTCCCGTGAGCAGCAGCAGCGCACCGCTGCAGGAGGGCCTGGGGGGCCAGCCCAGGAGCGGCTGTCACGGCAGGGGACACGGGCGCGGAGCTGGCTGGGGCGGGGGACGCACTGCCCTGGGGAGCGGGCAAGCGCTTCCGCCCTGCCCCTGGGCACCAGGGCCTGGCTTGGTGGTGGCCCTGGCCAGGGTCCGAGTTGGAGGGGCTAAGGGCAGAGGTGGGGTGGGGCACTGCAGGGGCTTCTGGGGAGGCTGGGTGGTCCTGGACTCTAGAACCACCCACAGGGGTGTCGAACTCATGTCACCGGGGGCCGCACCAGCCTCGCGGCGGCCTTCCAGGGGCCGAGTGTCACTGAGGACCGTGTACACGTCACTGCTCCTTCACTGGGGCAGGGAGCCCGCCACTGCCGCGGGACAGAAACAAGGTAGAGGCCCACATTTGGCCCGCGGGCCTGGCGTTTGCCCCGGTGTTCTGGGGAGATCCGCCAGGTGGAGGCGAGGTCCTGGTCCTGGGTGGAGGCTGGCCAGGGGAGGCCGGAGGGCCGGAGGCCGGCTGAGCAGCGCGCCTGTGCCCTCGGTCAGGCCTGGGACGGGGTAACTGGGACGAGGTTGGTGTGGACCACGGCGCTCAGGGGCACCCGTGGCTGTCTGTCTCGGCCCCCCAGGCCGAGCGCAGGTGCCTCCAGCTGGGGAGAACAGTGATGGGCGGGGCTGAGACGCACACGGCACCGGCCCGGCGCCCGCAGGCCAGGGCCCTGCCCACCAGGTGCCCACGAACGGTGGCGGGGTCCCTTCAGGGACACACACTTGTGCCTGAGAGAAGCTTAGGGCTGAGAAGGGGGGCCTCGGGGTCCCGTCCCACCCGGGTTTCCTGCCCTGGCGCTCAGGCCCCTCACTGGTGGGGGCCCAGGGCCCTGCCACAGGAAGGGGTGTGGGTGGCGGGCTGGAGGCGGCCTCACACGAAGGGGGAGCACCCCGGCCTGGCTCTCCGTGGGCTCTGCCGGCCGGTCGGCTGGGGTGGGCCTGCCAGGCGACAGGGCGTACGGGCGGCAAGGCTCCCGGGAGGCGGGACGGGGATGCCCCGGGACACACCTCGGTGAGGGGGCTCCCTCGGCAGCCGGGGGCAGGGGTGCTTGGCGAGAACCCCCGGGGGTCTCTGTCCCATTAAGTGATCACACACCAGTTAAGGTGGGAGTCATGGGGGCCACCCTGAGCGAGTCGTTTAGGACAGCAAGGTTCAGGACAGGGGGCTGGGACAGCCGGCCGGGACGACTCACTGGGCTCCCACGGGCTCAGCCGGCAGGGTTTCCAGGGTTCCAGGCGACCACACCCCCGCCCCAAGGCAGCCTCGCTGAGAGCAGGGGGCTGTCCCGAGCCCCCTACCGGCTCAACCCCTCCTCACCTCAGGCTGCCCATGGCTGAGACCAAGGGGTCGAGTGGCTGTAACTGGCCACCTCAAATCTCACAGCCAAGGGGCCCTCGGACCACCAGCCCCCATCCCCGTTGGCACAGGGGCCGAGTTCCAGGAAGGGGGCCCACAGGACAAGGTGGCAGGTGTGTGGTGGGGGCGCCCCTCCGGACACTTCACACAGGTGTGACCGGAGGGGGTTCCAGGCACAGCCGCCGCCGCCGCCCGGCCCCTTCCCGGAACCCACGGGCTCTCCCTGGACCACCAGCTCCCGTCCCCAGAGCCCCAGCTCCCCGGAGCTCCAGCCCCAGGCCCGGCGCCAGCACAGGATGGCCCAGGGGTCTGCAGTCCGGAGAGCTAGCGTGGGGTGGGCAGCAGGGCTGGCCCCTCAAGCCGTGTCCCCTCTGAGCAGACTTGGGGCCGGCCGCCCGGACTCTCCCTAAAAGCCCCCAGGGATGGGGGACCCTGACCTGCCACGGCAGCTGAGGGCCTCACCTACCAATTCAGACAGAGGCCGCCAGCTCACCCGCACGCCGGCGGGCCCCATCGAGGGCGGCAGCAGGGCCCCGGGGAGTGGGTCACCTGCAGCAGGGCCCGCCGTCCTAGCGGGACAGGTGGCGGGAGGGCAGGGGGCCCAGGGCAGCACCTGGCTCGTCATCACCTGGAGGGGGCTCGTCACCACCTCTTCGCACGAGCACCTGGGCCATGCCACCAGTGGAGGTCACACGGAGGAGGAGCAAAGGCAGCGCTTGAAGCCCGACCCAGCCTGCGCCCTCCCCCCGCCCGGCTTGGGGAGGCAGCCCAGGCGTTCGGCCCCGCTCCCACCTGGAAGCCGCAGAGGCCACGACCCTCGTTAGTGGGCGGCACTGACAGCTCCCGGGAAGTCCGAGCGCCCCCCGCCCTGGCAGGTGCGTGGGAGAAGGGAACCCTCCCCAGACAGCCGGGCCCAGGGCCAAATGCCGACAGCGTGGACACCCAGACGCGTGGACACCCAGACCCCGGGCTTCCCGCACGGGCGTGGAGGAAGGAGCCGATGCAAATGCAGGCGCCTGCTGGTCCCCATGGGAGCCGGCTGGGGCCAGCCGGGAGCAGGAGGCAGGAGGCAGGGGTCAGGCTGTCCCCGCTCCCCCATGCACACAAGGGTGTTCCAGGCCTCGGGGGGGGGGGCCCTGGCAGGGGCCTCACTCAGAAGGAGCCATTTCTATGACAGCTTCCATAGAATTCGTTTTAATGTTGAGACTCGTTCACCCGTGTGCACGCAGAGGAAGCCACCAGGTCCTGGCTAGAGCAGAAACCCCAGCCGCCGCGAAGCCAGAGTGCTCGCTTCTGGGGGGACCGGAGTCACCAGGCCCATGGCGGGGGGGCTTCCATCAGGGTCTCCGAAAGGTCCCAGCTCAGCCTTCCAGGAGCAGCCCGTGTCTCGGCTGCGCGGCGAGTGAATTAAAGCGACTTGGGGCTCCCTCCCCTGGGGGAGCCGGGGTCCCAGGGCTCCTTAGAAGTCCAGGGTGGCAAACATTCTCAAGTGGTTTTACGTCAAACCAGACGTGGTCTGCTGTGGACGGGTGGGCCGTGCCGACGGGGCCTCCTGCGTCGGGCGGAGCTTCTCCAGCGCAGACCGCAGGGCGGGCGGAAGGGCACAGCCCCCGCGCCCCGCACGGACGCCGTCCCCGCAGCCATTCCCGCAGCGCCGAACCCTGTGTATTCCCCCAAGTCCCGCAGCACCAGCCCCTGCCTGCCCGCCCCCCAAATCGATTGAGTTCCTAATTGCTGCTCCCTGGATCACGGTGGTGCTCTCTGCATGATTAGCTGCTGGTTCTCCAGGCACTGCTTCAGCTTGTCCTCCGTCAGCGTCAGCCGCTGCTCCAGGATGGAGACCGTCTGCAAGACAGCAGGTGCTCAGGCTCAGGAGGCGCGCCGCCCTGGGGACCCCCCACGCCGGTCCTGCTCCGCCCGCACTCGGAAGGCCAGCGGTCAGCTCTTCTTGCCCAGGGTCCCGCCCGGCCCCGCACCTCCAGGGGCTACTGGGGCAGCTCCTGCCTTCACCTCTGCGCCCCCCACCCTCTGGCGGTTGTTCTCGGGGGTCTGCGGGCGGGGGGAGGCACGGCGAGAGAAAGGTGGCAGCAGGTCCCAGAGCCCTCGGTCACTCCCGAGACAGCCGAGGCCGGGCGTCCCTGGCCCTGGCGGTCTGGTGTCTGGACTGGAGTTCCGGAGCAGAACCACTGCTGCCCCGGGGCCAGGCTGCCCGTGAACACCCAGACACCACCCACCATCGTCACTCCGCAGGTGAGAGCACCGCGCCCTCCGAGGAAGGCACCCCGCCTGGGTCCGAGGGGCCCGGGGCGCAGGCCCCAGCCCCCCAGCTCTGAGCCCATGTCCCCCTCGGGAACGGGAAGGGCAACGCTGAGCTCACAGCTCCCCTGCAGACCAGGAGGGGACTGAGCACGGGGCGCAGCGGCTCCACCGAACTGCGCTGGCCACTGGGACACGCCTGCTGTCACGGTGGCTTCCGGAGGCCGAGGCCTTGCTCCCCACGGGCCCGCCCCACCCATCATGCCCACCCTGACCCTGCTGGTGGGCGGCGGGGCCCACCACCCACTCCCCTCACCACGGGCTGGCTGAGGGCCTATGCGTGCCAGGCCCCCGCCGGGCACTGGGCGAGCCCACTGGGGACAGGCCTCAGAACCGGGTCAGCTAAGAAACAAACTTCCTGCTAATTTTCCCCGTTTGCCCGTGGCCTTTCCCGGGAGGTTCCGCCACCGCCCCAGGGGCTCCCTGGAGGCTCCTGGCCCCGGTCCAGCGGACAAGCGCCTTCCCGTTCACACACGGAGTGGACCGCTGACGTCCCGGGGCAGGAGTTTCCGCTGGGGCTGCTGGTCCCCCGTGCCGCCGGCCACTGGTGGGGGCTGCCCCTCCTGGCGGCCAGCACTCCTGACTGAGCTGGCGGGGCCCCCCAGCTCCACGCCCCGGGCCACGGCACAGGCTGAGGAACCCCTGGGACTGGGAACTGGGCCCTGAGGGCCAGAGCTGGGCCGAGATGGCCCCCCCACCCCCGCCCCACCCCCGTGCTGGCTGCTGGCTGCTGGCTGCTGGCCGGGAAGGGGTCTGCGTCTCGTAAAAGCGGCAGCGGAAACAGCCCCGGGCCGGCCCACAGCAGCATTCCTGGAAGTTTCCACTGGCTGCCGAGACTGCTCGCACCGAGCCAAGCACCAAAACCACTCTTCACCCAGACTTCTTCTGATGGCCCCGACACCAGGCCACGGCGGGGGAGCGCTCTCCTCTCCCGCCTCCTCCAGAGCTTTCCCAGGGACCCCCCCTCCAGGCGCAGAGGTTGTGGGGGGTGCAGGGCCACGTCAGCAGCAGCAGGGGCGTGACCACGAGTCTCCGGGCCCCCCCTTAGTTCCAGGGGCCCCCCGTCCTTCCTTCAGCGCCGTGGAGACACAGCCGCTGCATTTGTCAATGTTACGTTTCTCTGAGCAGAAAAACACCGCCTACTTCCCTCCCACCCGGCCCCCGGACCCGGTGTGCTGGCCCAGCGGGGGGCCCTTTCTTTGGGGGGTTCAGGGGGAGATTCCCACCACGTTATAGACAAACAGGTTTCAAACGAGTCCGGCACCTCAGCCCTGCAGCCCCCCCGCCCCCCGCCAGGCTGCTGGGTTGGGGCCCCACCTCTCCACCCCCTCCGCCTCGGCCAAGATGCTGGGTGGCAGCCACCAGCCAGGGGTCCTGCCCACCAGGCTGCCCCACGGGCTGGAAGGACAGGCCGGCGGGAGGAGGACGAATGAGGATTACTCTATGTTAGCACTGTATTCTCTGCTTCACAATTGTTCTATTTTTTAAAATTCCCACTCAAGGGCATTTTTTCATTGCTTTTGAGAGGAGGGGGAGTGGGAGAGAGAGAGAAAGAAACACTGATCAGTTGTCTTTTGCAGGCACCTGGACAGGAGAATCAAAACTGCAGCCGCGTTATGTGCCCTGCTGGGACTCAAACCCACGACCCTCGGGTGTCTGGGACGACGCTGCAACCAGCTGGGCCGCCTGGCCCAGGGCCGGACTGTCCTCGCAGCCCCACTCCAGCCCCGGCCGCAGGGAGAACACGGTGTGGAGCGAGTCCTGGAAACGCTGGGCCGCGAGCACGCGTGTCGACAAGCCTTCTCTCCACCGGGGGGGAGGTGTCCCCAGGGCTGGGCAGGCGCAGGGCCACTGCCGCGCCGCCACACCGCCCGGCTGCTGGGGCGGCGGGAGGCAGGAAGAGCATCCGGGAGAGGTTCAGGCCGCCAGGCATCCCCGGTAACGCCCTGCGGCCTTGTTCACGGCGGGCCCCTCGCTGACCAGCCTGGAGCCACGGCCCCACGCCATGTGCCCGGCGCACGGTGGCCTGTGGCCTCGGCCTGCCTGCGGGCCCCGGGCACAGGGAAGAGGGCGAGGAGTGCCGCCGAGCCGGCACCCCGTGGCCCTGAGCCCAGGCGGCCAGCACAGCCCCTCACCCTGCCTTGCCCGTGCCCAGAGGAACAGGGGCCAGAGGTCCCAGCCCCTCAGGAAGGCCCTGCGGAGGGCGGGCTGGTGACGGGTGCCAGTAAAGGAGACGGCTCTGCCTGACGTGGGCTGCCCAGTGCAGGGTCCCGGCCGCAGGGCAGGCCTGTCTGGGCGAGGCGGCCAGGAAGGAGGGCCTGCCCCAAGCACCCCCGGCTGCTGGGCCCGGGGGGCCAGGCCGCTCTCTCGGCTCTGCCTTCCAGCAGCCAGGCTGGGTGCCCTCACAACTGGGCGGGGGCCCAGGCTCGAGGGCAGACCAGCGGGAGGACCAGGGCCGGGCTTTGGGGGTGGGGGACTGATGGTCCCCGACGCTCCGCTCCAGGGGCTGCTCCCAAGGCGCCGAGTGCCCCTCAGCAGCCCTCCTCGCGGCCGTGGCCTTCATCGCCCCCATTTCGGGGAGGAAACTGAGGCACGGGGACATCAGCGACTCGCCTGAAGTCACACAGCTTACACGTGACAAACGTGAGCCGCGAACTCCAGTGGCCTGGCTTCCGAGTGTGGGGACTAACCCTAGCCCTAACCCTTCTGCTCATTCCCAGCCAGCGGCTGCTGTGCCCCCCGCCAGGCAGACTCCCCAGGGGGCTGGGGTGCCTCAGTCCCCTGACCCCCAACACAGGAGCCCGAATACCAGGGGACAGAGGGTCCCAGCTGCCCGGGGTCTCAAGGAGAGGGCACGGTCACCCAGCAAGGTCACGGGGGCAACAGAGCCAGGCGGCGGGCAACCTCCTGGGGTTGGCCACTGGCTCAGCGCCCGCCTTGGCTGTGCCACACAGGACGTCAGACTTGCCTGGGGTTTCATTGCAGAGATGGAAAAATGTGGGATTAATCTCCCCCGTGGCGTGGTCTGACTTCACTCAGACTCTGAAGATCTGAAACAGATGCAACCGAAGGGGCTCCCGCCGTGGGGCCTGGTGAGCCAGCACCGCGGAGGGGCTGCCGGGCCCAGCGCCGGCCGGCTCTGCCCCGCCTCCTGCCGGCCCCATCTCCGTCCCTCCCGTCTGCGCGCGTGCATGCGTGCGTGTCTGGGAGTGCTCGCGCGCACACGCGTGCACACGCATCCACATGTGCAGGGCCGGCCGGCCTCCCCGCAGTGAGGCCCCGCGTCGGCCCCGGCCCCGGGAGGACGCCAGCCCTTCGAGCAGCCCGCCGACGCCGCACCGGTGCCCGCGCCAGGCGGATGGGGGTTCTGCCTGCTCCTGCTCACACCGGCCTCCCGCTCCCGGGCACAGCCGCTGGCCCACGAGAGGGGCACGCTGAGCGCCGAGGGGGCACGGGCTGTGGGCACTGGGGACGCAGCACGCAGGCCTGCGCCGGCCGGCCCGGCCCCTAAAGGCGGCCCTCGCCTGCAATGCTCCCCGGGCCCGGTCCCTGGACCTGGCGGGCCTGAGGGGAGGGAGGGGAGGGAGGCAAGGGTGGGCGGGCTGGAGGGGCCCTGCCGGCTGGCTTGGGAGGGAGGGAACCTCCTGGCCTCGGCGGGAAGTGGGGGTGCACCCCCTCCCACCTTCCGTCCTGATCTGATGAGCACCAAAAGCTCCCTGTCCTCACCTTCCGAGGGGCAGGGGCGGAGCCTCCCTCCTGGGCTGACGTCTGCCAGGCTAACCCGCCCAGGACCCCACACACGCTGAGGCACCAACAAACCCGGTTTCCAGAGCAGGTCCGCCCAGTCTCTCAGGCCCAGCGACCATCTGTTCCACAGCCCCTCTCGCGCCCAGCCTGCCGCTGACGCACAGCGGTTGAGGGTCTGTCCCGGGGCCACAGTCCGACTGCGCGCCTCTCCGCGTCGTTTACTGAGCTGGGGCCCCTCTGCTGCCCGCACCCCCGCCCCGCCCCGCCCCACGGGGGGCCCACTCTCCGCGGGAAGTACGTGAAACAGAGTTTTCCGTTGCTAGACTAGCCGCATGACCAAGGAACCCCGGCTGAGTTGCTTTCCTTGTGGTTTTACGGCAACTCCTTTTCCATAAACACGGGCTTTTCCTCATTGCCCCCAAAGGAGAAGCAATAAAAAGTGAGTTCTCTCACCACCACCCAGAAAACCGGATGCTCCTGGGACCCACGGGGCGCTAACCCCCCGAGCTGGGGGTTGGGGGGGGCCTGGGCCGCACACCCCACCGACACTGGCCTGCGTCCCAGCGCGTCTCCTCGCCAGCCCCGGGCAGGCCCTGCTGTGCTCCGGCCCCAGGGGCCGAGCACGGGGCGGGGACCGCAGCCTTGGACGACATCTGCGCCCCACTTCTGACAGGCTGCCGTGTCGGCCAACCGTGTGAGGGGACCGACTCGCCGAGGCCTGACGACACGCAGCGGCCCCCAGCCCCCCGGGGGCCTGGGCGACCTGGGGCTGCCGCCCCCCCACCCCCCGACAGGACCCGCTCAGGGACCCGACGGGCCCGTGGGCTCCCCTGCCCTGGGGAGCGGCGTCTGGGCTCCCCCGTCCAGCAGCTGGGCCCGGACCGCTCCCCAAACGGCCGGTCCTGCTGAGTCCGAGGCTTCACACTGCCGTTTCTGCACCCAGCCATGCCCGAGATGGTGCCTCCTCTGCGAGGGTGCCAAGGGCTGCAGGCCAGCCACGCTGTGGCCACCGGCAGAGCCGCGCAGGCCCGCTGGGGGCTGCCCGTCCCAGACACAATACTCACAGGGGCCCCTCCTGGCGGTCTGGGCTCGACTCCTCCTTGGAGAGCACTGGGTCCCCGGAAGAGCGAGAGCAAACCTCCAGAGCCTCCCTCGTCCCCCCTCTCAGAGTGAGGCCCCGCCCCCCGCCCCACTCCAGGCCCGCAGGGCCTCACAGGAAAGCCCACCCAACCAAGGCCATTCCCAGGCCCCGGAGGAAGCCGCAGCCGCCCCGAGCCCCTCTGGACGGCAGCAGCCTTCGCCCGCAGCTTCTCTGGGTGGGGGCGCCGTCTGTCTCGGCCACAGATGGACGGGAGACCGGGCTCCTGCCCGACCCCGTGCAGGGACACGCACGAGCCGGCCCGGCCCGGCCCGGCCCAGGGAGACACGGCCTGCCCATGCCCCGCGTGGGCAGGCCCCAGGGAGCAAACTGCCCACAGGAGCGCAGGCCTGGGGAAGGGCTGAGGCCCAGCCCCTCCGCGGCCACTGCGGGCAGCCCCCCCGAGCGTCTCTGGCCCAGACCGCAGGGTGCCGCATCCCTGCCCCCGGGAGGCAGCCTCTCGACGGAGGAAATAAGCCTCTTGTCACCCAGCCCCATGGCAGGAGCTCGGGCCGTCCTGAGCAGGACTCTGGCCCAAGGGCAGCCCCTGACCGTCCAGGACCCAAGAGAGGACAGCCGGACCCACCGGACGAGGCGGGCAGGCCCCGGCAGGATCTGGCCCTGGCGATCTGGGGGGTCCAGTGGCTCGTCAGGGCACTGCCGTTCGTTCCACTCGCTGGGGCCGGAAGCGGGCCCGTCGCGGCCACGTTCCTGAGCGGGGGGCGGCCTACCTGGGTGAGGATGTCCAGCTGGCCCACGATGTGCTCCAGCGTGCTGGTCAGCGCCTGCGGCACGCTGCCGGGCTCCGGTGGCAGGCTCCGCACCGTCTCCTGGCTCCTGCCTTCGCCCGCGGGGACAGGGAAGTCCCCTTCCAGCTGTGGACAACGAGAGGAAAGGGGCCTCAGGCCTGAGCGAGGGCTCACGGGGGCGTTGGTGGGGACAAAGGCCCCCAAGGTCGGGGAGAAAAGGCCACAGCAGGGACCCCTCAGTGCAGGCCTGCCCCTCGGAGCAGAGGCTGTGACTGAAGGGGGATCCAGCGCCTGGCAGTTGGGGCTGGAGGGACTGGAGGGGCTGGGGGGCTGGGGGGCAGGTGGGCCGGACAGCACCCTCAGCTGTGGGCTTGAGGCCCCGGCTACTTCCAACAAGGCTTGGGGTTCCTGCCAAAGCTCCTTCAGTCTCCAAAGGTACAAGCCAGTCCCTCGACTCCCCCCACCCCTGGAAGGACAGTGACTGCATAAGGAGACTCCTGCTGGCCCCACACGTCCCCCAAATCGGGCACCACCCTGCGCACAGGCGGGGCTTCCCCTGACCTGGAAAGCGCGGGTCTTCCCAAGCCACCCGGCTCCCATGGACCCAGCAGCAGGGGCCCCCGTTTGGTCTAGGGACCTACAACCCCCTGTGGACTTGTTCCCTGTGGGAGTGACGTGCCGGGTGAGGCTCGTGCTCTCCTCGGCTGGGCCCAGAGCCCCACGCGCCCCCCCGTCCCCCACCCCCCCGCACTGCAGCCCCTCGCCTGCACTCCGGGGCCCTCTGGAGATGTGGCATTTCCCCAAGGGCGGGGCCGAGCGAGCGACGAAGCGGAGAGGAGGTGACGGGCAAGACTGGGAAGACACGTGCGCCAGGGCCGTGGGCAGCAACGGCGGCAGGATGCGCAGGGCAGCGACAGGGGGAACACCGGACCTGGGCTGCGTCGGACACGGAAGGGTGGGGGGGGGGCTGCCCAGTGGCTCTCGGGTACCTCGCAGCATCCACCCCCGCACACGCCTACGGGGCCGCGCCAGTCCACAACTTCCTAACTTCCTTCCTCCCTCCTTCCCTAAAAAATGTTTTGCTGCTCTATTTACAGCTTTTTAAACAAAAGGTTGTATTTATTTTTAGAGAGAGGGGAGGGGAGGGAGAAGGGGAGGGAGAGAACATTAACGTGTGGTTGCCTCCTGTTCATCCCCCGCTGGGGGCCTGGCCCACAACCCAGGCACGTGCCCCGACTGGGAATTGAACCGGCGACCCTTTTGGTTTGCAGGAGGACACTCAAACCACTGAGTCATACCAGCCAGGAAAAGTTGACCACTTCCATTTTTGCCAAATCATAACATCAAAACATCGTAACATCAAAACAGGAGAACAGGGGAGACTTGGGGTGGAGGACTCGGTCCGACTCTGTGGGAAGCTCGCCTGGGGTCCCCGGTTCCCCTGCTGCCCCTGCAAACACGTGGTGGCTGGACTCCCAGAGGGAGAAAAAAAAGAGATTTCTTTTTTTAAAAAGTGTGCTGGTGTATCTGAAAAAAGTCTCTATTTCTCCATTTCTGAAAGACGTTTTTGCTGAGTATAGAACTCTGGGTTAACAGATGGTTTTTTCCCCTGTGAAAACTCTGGAGAGGTTACTCCAGTGCCTTCTGGCTCGTGTGCTTTCACGGGGGAACGACTCTGTGACCCCGGCCTCCGACCCCTGTGCACACGGCGTCTCCTTTGTCCGCCTTTGAGCTTTTCTGGTTTCCAGAAGCTTCAGTGCAGTTTGTATGGGGTTCTCCTTTGTTCCATTTCTTCAGCTTTCCTGTCATTTCCCTGAGCTTCTTGGATCTGTGGTTTGATGCCTTTTGTTGATTTTAAAACATTCTTGGCCGTTATCTTTCCAACAGCACCAAACCCCCAAAAACGTACTGCTTGTTTCCTAGGGCTGCTCTAGAAAACGGTCACTCGGTGGCTTAAGACAACAGAAACGGATTCTCTCGGGGTCCGAAGGGAAGGCGTCGTCAGGGCCGCAGTCCCCCTGGAGACACGCAGACAGAGCCCTTTCTCGCTTCTTCCGCTTCTGGGGCTGCAGGGGTCCGCGCACTCCCGTCTCTGCCCTGCCTTCACCGGGGTCTCCTCCCTGCGCCCCCACCGCTGGCTTTCCGGCCTACCCTGTCACCCGGGAGGAGCTCATCTGGAGACCCTCAGCTTCATATTCATCACAGTGACGGAGACCCTCCCCAGGTAAGGTCACACTCACAGGTTCCGGGCGTTCCGGGCGGACGCATGTTTCCGGGCCGGGGTGGCCGCCCGACCCACTGCAGAGTGCTCGGACGTAGACCGAGCACCGCGGGCACGAGGTCTGCGCGCTGGCCACTGTGACACAGCGATGTGGACACCGAGGGGACCCGCGTCCATGAAGAAACGCGCCGCGTTCGCGCACCGACGGCCTGGCTGGGTTCAGACGCCCACTCCCCCCAAACCACCTGCAGGAACGGGAACGCTGGATCTGACATTTACACGGACAGGCAACGGGAGCAGGAAGGCCAGACCCGTCTTCAGAAGAAGACCATTGGAGGACTCACCTCTGCGTGACCCTGGCACTCGGGCTGAAGCTGCAGCCCAGACCGTGAGCTTCTGGCCAACGCAGACACGGAGCGACGGGACAGACAGGGCCCAGGGGCAGACCCACGGACACTGGGCCAATTAACCTTTAAAAACTATTTATTTATTTCTTGAGAGAGGGGGAAGGCAAGGAGAAGGGAGAGAAACATCAACATGTGGTTGCCTCTCGCGCGCCCCCTACTGGGGACCTGGCCTGCAAACCAGGCATGTGCCCTGACTGGGGATCAAACCTGTGACCCTTTGGTTCGCAGGCCGGCACTCGATCCACTGAGCCACACCACTCAGGGCCAGGCCAATTAATTTTTAACAAAGGTATACAAACAACTTAGTACAGAAAAGAGTATTTTTAACAACTGCTGGAACAACAGAATCTCCACCTGCAAAAAAAAAAAATGAACTTTGGTACATAACCTGTATCTCGTACCATGTTAAAGAAGTAACTCAAGACGGATCGTAGGCTAAAGTAGAACCTAGATCGACAATGCTGACGTACGTTTCTCTTCTAAAGTACAGGGAGACACCTCTGTGACCTTGGGTTGGGTCACACAGGTTTCTTAGACATGACACCCAAAAGCGTGATCCACAAAAGCACAAGTTCAAAGAGGAACTGCATCAAAACTCAAAGCATCTGCTCCTTGAAAGGCACGATTCAGATGAGAACACGGAGCACAGACCGGGGGAAAACCCCCGCAAGTCACATGACTGGCAGAAGACTCATATCCAGAGCATACACAACCTCCAAAACTCAATGAGAAGACAGTCTAATTTTTTTAAAAAAAGGCAAAAGATTGGAACAGATACTCCAGCAAAGAAAATGTAAAGATGGCAAACGAACACCTAAAATGATGTTCTACAGCCCTGGCCGGGTAGCTCAGTTGGTTAGAGCACCGTCCTGAAACACCAAGGTTGTAGGTTCGATCCCCGGTCAGGGCACATACGAGAATCAACCAGTGAATGCATAAATAAACGGAACAGCAAATCGAAGTTTCTTTCTCTCTCTCTCCCCCACTTCCTCTCTCTAGAATTAAAAGAAAAAAAGGCACTCTACATCATTAGCCATGAGGCAAATGAAAGTTAAAACCACAGCGAGACACCCCCCCACATCTGTTGGCGTGGTTACAGTTAGAGCGACCGAGCGCGCCCAGCGCTGGCGGGGAGGCGGAGGGACGCGGCCTGCCTCACCGCCGGGGGGAAGGTGGGGTGGTGCAGGCACTCGGGGAAGCCGTTTGGCGGTCCCCCAAAGTGACAAATACACGCATGTCCCGGTCATCCAACTCCCAGGTATTTACCCAAGGAAAACGGAAATATATATCCACAGAAAGACATGTGCATGAAAGTTAACAGCAGCTTTATCTGTGAGAGCCAAAAATTATGAATACCCCAGACTCCACTGGCAGGCAGACAAACAACCCGACGGGGCACCACTCAGCAGGAAAAGGCAATGAGACGGCACAGGTGGATCTCAGAATGGTCGGGCGGAGTGAGAGGAACCAGACCACACAGAACACACAGCTGTATGAGCCGCTGATGCCCGACGCTGAAAACCACACGCTCGCCCCGTGACTGGGGCTGGGAAGGGGGTGCACCGACTACAAAGAGGCGCGAGGCCACTTCGGGGGGAAAGGCGGAGTCACTCTCCACCTCGACGCGGCAGTGACTACGCGACTCTGCGTCTGTCGGAGCGCAGAGAACGCTTCACCTTTTCACGTGGTGAACGTTACTACTCAGGGGTCACTAGGCCTGACTCTTTGTAAAGGCCGGTGCACCTGAGACGCCCTGGGAGCCCCCCTGCTCCTCGACACGGCAGTGACTGTGACACGGCCCGTCACTGCCGCCCTGCTCCCAGGGTGCCAGTCACTACCCCTCCACGGGGCACCGCCGACGGGCCAAGCCCAGGCTGCAGGTGCCCGGGGCGGCCTGTGAGGTCCCCTGCTGGTCCGGCATCACGGCTTCCAAGTGCAGAAAGCCAGTGTCACAGCTCGGGGCTGCCCAGAGCCTCCGTCTCCCCGGCTGTCAGCACCCGGCTGTCCCCAGACGGGGTTTCCCAGGCAGCGGCTGTCCTGTCTACAGACAGCAGGCCGGCTGCCAGGAGTGGCTGCAGCTTTCCCACAGCAACCCCACGGCTGACCCGACAGAGCGACCCCTCTAGCGGGTGGGTGGTCAACCGTTAACACCTGCTCAGAGCAGAGATGGCTGTCTGCCCTTCCATCTCTGACCCAGGACCCCCCGCTGCACTCGGTTCCTCCTCCCTCGTCTCCTGCAGTGGAGCCAGCCCCTCGGCTTTCCCTGGTCTCTCGCGACCTTGGCCCTCTGGAAGAGCACTCATCAGCTGTACGGTCAGGTGTCCCTCGACTTGGGCCTGGTGTTTCCCCGTGACCGGAGCGAGGCCGTGCGCTCTTTGGTGAGAGCGCCGCGGGGCTCCCGGGAACGGGCCTCCCGCCGGGTGTGCCCCGGGCTGAGTCGCGGTGCTCCCTGTGCGGCTCACCCTGGAGGAGCACCGTGGCTCTTCAAAGGCGACGTG